GGCGTCGATTCGATCCCTAACCCTCAGCGAGGTGGTGATACCTCTTTGGCGATAAGGTTGTGGCATTCAGAGCTGCGTCTATTTGGGGACACGACTCCAGGACCACTTGCCGCGTGCGATGGTGATCTATTACATATCGCCTAAGAAAACATCCTACCTAGATTCCGGTATTATGATGCTTCCTACCATTTGTTGCGCATCTGAATCCACAATAGTTCCTAGCTTCGCCGGGCATCGTGCTACGGTTCTACATATCTCCCGCCCGAAATATCGAAGGTATACCCGAGAGTTTCTGCTATGATATAGCCATACACCAGGGGGTGCATTAATTCGTGACCCATCAACCGAAGAACATCGAATATATCTCAACGACCACAATGATTGGAAACTCCTTTTGCGGGAGGAAAATCATCTTTGAGGCGAGACAAATATTTTATCCTCTTCTCAAGTGGTCGCGAAGTCGGGGCTATGCGATATTCTAGGGGTGCAAACTTTGGTTGGGTCACGAATTAGTGCACCCCCTGGTGATAACAAGGACGCTGACCAGCTCAAAATGTGGAACCCTACCCCAAGACAAGTGGTCATTGCAAAAGTAAAGATGCAAGGGTCGCACCCTCGACGAGGGTGACGAGGCCAGGAGCGCTAGCATCAATGACAAGGCCGGGTGGGCATTTCTCAAGTGTAAGGCTTTCATCAACCAGAGCCTGAACTGGGCAGCCGCCCACGAGAAATTGTGTAAGCTACGTCCCAGCATACCCCTTGAGGCAGATCCAGGGCTAAAACACCGCACTTACCTTTATTTCTGTGCTGCACAAGGCTTAGACCATCAGGGCCAACGTGGGGCAATCCCTTCAGCTGTTGCTTTGCTTCTTGCCGACACCAGCTCTACGGACGACTGTACTCGAATGGAGGATAGTATCGACGGACTGGGAGGCCAAAGCGAGATCAGCTCCTCTGGCGTAAATACAGCATCTTTGGCAAGCTCCAGTTCAAACAGCTCCGAGACTCTGAGCAATGCGGCACCTTCCCCGGGATTTTGTGTCAATGACATCAAGGACAGTGCTACCCTCGACGGCTTAGAAGACGTCTCTCACACAGAAGCAGGAGAAGAATATGGTCTTCGTGACCACCGAAGCTACAATGAAGCCTTTTTAAAACAGCTCGGGCCGGTTTACCATCGTGTCGTCAATAAGTGCATCGGCGTTCATTGGCTTCACGGGTACATACCCTGGCCGGACCAGGCAGTTCTAACCCTCGATAACACCAGGCTCAAACCGCAGAACGGATCATTGACACCAAGGAGCAGCTGTGCCAAATGCTGCTCTCTTAGAGGCATCTTACTTCAATGAGTCGCAGTGTCAAAGTATAACGATAAAGGTAGCAAGCTGTGCGCCGCGTCAGTCAACTGCGAGGACTTGGCGCATGAAGGGTACTCTTCCTGTGACAAGCACCTTCGATGAAATCAAGGTGCAATATATCGATACCTTTCACCGGAAATGGGCCAATACCGAGTAGAACGTCGTGATGGCTACCCTGAGTCATGGGAGGAAAGATAGCGAAATCTGAACTGGATAAATCGCCCGTTGTCCGGCGCTGACATTGTGACTACGGAGGACATGGCAATATTCTTAACCAACGCCGAGCTTGGCGCTATCCCAAATGACAGGCGTCTCGTCTATTCGTGGTTCTGGCGGTAGACAACAACGAATTTGTTAATGAGAAAGGCCGTCTGCTCCAGGCGCGATCATACCTCGCACGATCAAGGATACTATGGATTTGTCGCAAGGCATCCTTCGCTCTCAAATCAAAGGCTCCCAGCCTTGCTTAGCAAGTATATCTCCCTGAATTAAATGTACGAATTCTCATTAGGGGCTTAGGAACAACCCCGGCATCCTGAAGCATCCTCCGCTAGGTCACAAAAAAAAATCGCGGGGAGCTTCTGTTCAAACATTACATTGAATCAAGACTAGTCTAGATCTAGGAATCAATCCCTTCTCATGCTGCCTTGGCTTCTCGTTCCTTCAGGCCCTCGCGCACAAGTGGCAGTACATACCGTCCATAATCAACCGCATCATTGAAGTTATCATACCCACGAATAGAGAGGAGGGTAGCACCAAGATCAACATAGTCCAAAAGTGAGTCAGCAACAGTTTTGTAAGATCCCACCAAAGCCGTCGAAGCGCCACGAGCATTCGTTGCGGTTACAGTAGGATACCAAAGAGCACGATCTTGGACCTCGCCTTTCTTGGCGATGTCGAGAAGACGTTGAGAGCCAACGTTTTGTGGTGGTGGAGCATCGGCTGGCACTTTGCCTTGTCCTGCTGCTCTGCGGCTCTTCAGGACGTCGAGCGTGTGGTGTGCCTTTGCCCAGGCAAGGTCGTCTGTTTCAGCAGTGATTGGGCGGAACGTTACCCCTGTTTCTTATTAGCTCTGTTCATACATTGTAGTGTACGGCATGTGAAGTAAGGTCAAATTCTCCGAACTCATGTCGTCTGCACGTGCAGTTTGGGTATGTGCCCTTTTGACTTACAAATCCGTGGCCTGTCAGTACGACCAGCCTTCTCAGCCTCAGCATAGATGCGATCGATCTGCTCCTTCGTCTCCTTTAACGGCTCCCCCCACAGTCCGAAGATATCGGCAAGTGAGCCACCAACGCGGTATGCTTCGTCCGATGATCCTCCCACTGATACGGGAATGGTACCATTGACAGGGCGAACATCATTGTTGAATTGCTTGAACTGAAAATAGGTTCCATCCCAATCGAAAGGCTTATTAGACTCCCATGCACGTCTCAGAATACGAATGTACTCCTCGAGTCTTCCATAACGCTGCTCCTTGGAGAGAAAGTCCCCCTCCTTGGCCTGTTCGGCGTCGCTACCACCAGCAATGAAATGCACCACAGCTCTACCCTTGCTCAGACCATCGAGTGTCGCTAGAGCCTTTGCAGCGACAGTTGGGTAGAGGGTATTCGGTCGAAGGGCGATGATGACTTTGATGTTCTTGGTTACGGCTGCAATAGTGGCACCGATTGTGAAGGGATCGAAAGAGTTGGAACCATAGGGGATTAAAGTGTAGTTGAAGCCATAATCATCAAGCGAGCGGGCATAGCGAACGAGGAATTCTGGATCAACTTGTGCGTTGGGAATCGGGAAAAGCTCCGAAGAAGCGTTGGGAGGAGTCACGCTGATGAACTCTACTGGTGCCATTCTGATGTTTTGAATTTAACTTGCAGACTTTGAATTTGGAGAGTGGGAGACCGAGACTCGAAGGAAGACATGTCGTTGCTTATAGATCCAATTCAGGTTGTTAGCTAGTAAATAGCGACAATTGCGGGGAGGATGACGCCTTACCTACATAAGCCGATGTTCGGGCTTAGGCCCCCATCTTTATTAGTGATCCTACCCGCAAACTCTCTTGGTCAAGCCAATGCAACAGAACATCGATTTTTGACTGCTCCACTGGACATGATAAGGAACTGCAAGGAACGTTCGATTGCATTTGCAACGAGCCAATTAAGGACAAGGGGTCGCTATGATCCTGACTTGACAGCCTGCTTTGAACGCCTCCCCTTGAGCACGCAAGAGAAGCATCTGTTGTGCAATCATTGAATGTACCGCCTTCAAGGAGATAATGTCACCTTGCATTTTTGTTGCACGTCGCAAAACCTCGGGCACGACTTCAATGCGAGAATGTCTTCTCGCACATGGTAGTTTGGGGGTCGTACCACAAGTGCAGGCCCTCGATAGCCAATGCAGTCCGACTGCGCATTGTAGTCTACTTTGGGGTATTACTGATAGCCACACTAGACTTTTGCGGACTTCGCAGCCTGGCTTAAAGTTGCACCCGTTTGGAGGTACGGTTCAAGAGCTCAAGCTTCTCGTTGCACGTTGCACCTATGCTCGGGCGGATCTGGGTCTTCCCGCTCAGAGGTTTGCTTAGGAAGCCGTCGGGCATGAGGCCGAATAGAGGGGACGATGGAAGTACAGCTAAGCAAGTTTACGGGCCGGATCGAGGAGAACGCAGCCATTGAAGATCGCCATATCGATTAGACTGCAGGTCCATTCATCAGCCTATGACTGCAGCTACGGCGAAGAAAGGCTCAAAGATCGAGGGATAACTTTGCCAGTCTTTGCAAGTGCAATGATCTCGATTCGCAATGTTTGTGGTGGGGATCGCTGCGCAGCTCAACTTGTTCGCCACAGGAGAAGAGAGGTCAAGTTACTAGCCTGAACGAACCTGTACCATCAACCCGATCAAATATAGTCACGCTTTACGCTGATGGCGACGACAAAGCTGAGGAAGCCGAAGTGTTATCAAATTGAACGAGCATGGCTTCTTATGTCAACCTTCGTGGAATGTCATGTGGGTAGTCTTCGACTATATTTGGCAATGACTGGGCTATCTGTATCTTCAGGAAGGATGGCGATGGCATCGGGCATGATACCCTGAGATCCTTGATACTGAGAAGCATATTCCACCGAAGTGGAGGGAGGCTAACTTTTGTTTCTTCTTACATCTTGTGTTAGTATTATGCTTGCTAGTCAGTCGTAGAGCTTCCTGAAAGTAGCGGATTAGGGCTCTTACGGATGAATGTTCTCCGAATTTGCGACGAGACTTGCCTCCTAGGGCCTAGATACATCTTTCCTGTTCATTTGAACTTTGTAGCTCTTCTCTCAAATTTCCCCAAGATAAGTATGAAGTCTGTTTATTCGCAATTTTGATCGTATCCTCGTGACTTCGGGGAAATTCCGTTGTGAACATTTCGTTACTTGCAATGCTCCCATTCAATGGTAGTATCTGCACCCATTCCATATACCCGTGGTCTCCTTTCTTGTCCTACTCTTGATATACACTCTCTTTCAAAGTCACGCCCCCTGAGTGGAGCTAGGAGAAAATTTCCTCCTGGTAACATTACCGAAGACGGCCCGCCTCAGCTTGCGCACATATAGATTTGAATAAACAGAATTTTTGACATGTGCTATTCACAAAACAGCATGGTGGGACTCCTGGCCCAATGGCAAGGCGCTTGACTTCGAATCAAGAGATTGTCGGTTCGTTCAACCTGCCCCCGTCTTAAATTCCATCCTTTACTGATAATTCGCATAGGTTCGATCCCGGCGGAGTTCAATTTATTTTATTTTATTTTATTTTTGAAATGGTGCTCCAAATATTCGGGAGGGGTTTTCTTTTTTAGCTCAACTTGTACAAGGTTCATGGTCCGCCTTGAGACATGCACCAAGGAAAGCGGAGAAGAGAGGCGACAGAGCTCCCTTGGACGCTTAGAAAGATTGATAGCAAGTTGTATCGCCGTTGAAACGTAATCTACTGCACATTGCGATAATCAATTCGAACCAAAACCCCGAGATTGTGCATAATAGGATACATTGCTGAGTGCACTTTCCAACTTGTGGCAAACAACAGATCTGCTTAGTTTCGAACGTGCTCTCTGGCAATGTGACTGTAATACTATACTCACTACCTAAGATCCATTCAACCAAGTAACAATTCTCAAATCTGTATGAGGGTAGCAAGAACCTTAACATCCCAAGCTGGTTTCTAGGTAAGGCAGCGTTTGTTAAAGTAGGGACTATCCTGAATGACCTAGATAGTCAAAAGCAACATGAATCCAATCAGCTGATTCGGTCAAGTCGCTCGGCGGAGCCGTAAAATAGATGAGCTTTTGTGAGAACCCGGAAGAGGGGAGACCCACATCACGTGATACAGACATTTTCTCTTTGATGTCCAGATGAAGAAACATCAATGATGCTCTGTCCATCCTTCATTTCCAAACCTCTCTCCAAAGGCGCTCACGGGCGCAATCTCCCTCACGACAACCGATCAGATGTTCGATGTTCGCCGCTAGGTTCATCCGAAACATCATCTCCAGCTGAGACGCACGAGCTTGGGAGAAGACAATGAACAGCATGACAGAACGGAACAACACGATCGGTACATAAATCAGATAGAATCAAGTGAGTCTACTTCAATTAAGCATACATTTAGAGCTAAGTTTGCTGCGTTAACTTAAGCATAAGGTTAAGGAGAATGCGAACATGTCAGCTCTGGTGGGTCCAGCCACAACGTCACAGAATCTGGGGAAGAAACGTCTGAACTTTCTTTTGTTTCATCTGAAACTCTTATCAGCTATCGGCGAACAGTTGGAGCTCAGCTGTTTGACGTTGTGATCAGGGCAGCGCCCAGGGCGTTGCTCACGATTCATGCTTTGAACGAAATGAATGAACAGAAATGAAGCCGACTGGAATCTGGTGAGGGCTTCCGCAAGGTACAGTACACCCCTTTTCTAATCTCTACCCCTTGTTGTTTAACTGCATTGGGCCGCGGGAAATACAAGCACACAAGCGAGGGCGCCACCGATCTTAGACCAGCCCCGAGCGCCTCTCCCTCTCCCTCTCCCTCTTCCTCGACCATCCATCTCCTCTCCATGTCGACCTCGATCTGTGAGCTTCACCAAGTTCCTCTCTGAACGCGGAGACCTCCTCGAGTGCATTTGTGCACGTTACTCTCCTTCATTTCCACGTCGGAATCCTCACAACGCGTATCGCACGCAAGTCGCTCTTTAATTTCTCTTCGATCCACGCTCCTTCAACATGCAATTTTCGTTGTCCTCGTCGTTCCTTGTTGGAGCTGCTGCTCTCGTCGCGCCGGTCTTCGCACAAACATGGACGGCCTGCAATCCCATGAACACCACTTGTCCTAACGATCCTGCTCTTGGTATCAGCCATAATTTCGTCTTTAACACCTCCGAAACCGTCACGAATTCGTTCAATATCACCGCTGGATCCCTTGTCTATGGCACCAATGGCACCGAATTCACCATCAACAAGAAAGGCGACTCTCCGACGATCCAATCTCAATTCTATATCTTTTGGGGCTCTGTCAGCGTTGTTATGAAAGCCGCGTCTGGTCAGGGTATCATCTCGTCAATTGTGTTGGAGTCCGACGATCTTGATGAAATTGATTGGGAATTCTTGGGCGGAAATGGCACTTACGCTGAAACCAACTACTTTGGCAAGGGCAACACGACCTCCTACGATCGAGCTATCTACTACCCCACCGTCTCGGATAATCGAGAGAACTTCCATAATTACACTGGTAAATTTCTCAGAAACATCCCTCAAAAAGGCAGGCAATTGCTGACTCCCCGCCTTATAGTTCATTGGACATCCGATCAATTGCAATGGTACATCGACTCGAACCTCGTGCGAACTCTTCCGTATGCTGCGGCATATAATGGCTACAACTATCCGCAGACCCCAATGACTGTCCGTCTTGGTATCTGGGCTGGTGGTGACTCTGAGAACAGCAATGGTACGATTGAGTGGGCCGGAGGCCTGACAGACTACTCAAAGGGCCCATATACCATGGTTATTCAGAGCGCACAAATCAACGACTTCTCAACTGGATCGGCCTACCAATGGACCGATAAGTCTGGAAGCTTCTCGAGCATCAAGGCTATCGCGTAGGTTGCTTCCTCCCCAGTTCTCACACAAGCTAATATTCCTCTCAGCGGAAACTCTACCGCTGCCGAGACGATCAAGAAAGCCGAGACACCCACTCTTTCCATTGCTCAGAAATGGTCAAATCTTCCCTCAACAACCAAGATTGCGGTCTATGCTGGTAGCGGCGGTGCTGCCGCCATTCTGCTGGCTGCCCTGATTTTCATCTGCATTCGCCAACGCCGAGTTGGACGTAAGGAACAGGACGCGTACAACGCGAAGGTTGAGAAGGAGCACCAGGATGCATACCGTGATCAGATGGAACTCCGCGAAAAGGGACTTGGCGGTTGGGATAAGGGTGCCTTCGAGAAGCAAGGCGAGGATGCTCTTGGTGGCTGGGGAGATCCTCGACGTTCGCACATCCCCCCTGGATACGCCACCGATGAGTCAACATTGCCAAAACTTCCATCCAATGTTATGGTTAAGGAAGTTTCATCAAGAGTCAACAGCCCTACGATTACCAGAAGCGTCAGCCCTGTCTCACGACATCAAACACCTTCTCTCGTCAGCCCCGTCCCTCAGAGTCCAGGAGGCTGGAAGGGCGACAATCAAGGCGGAATGATCCACGACATAGGAAATGCTTACTCTGGAGGATATGGCGGCAACGCCAATTTCTCAAGAAATCCATCATTCCCTCTCGGCGGCTCAATATCTCAGCGAAGACCCTCAAACGGCGGTTACCAAAGATTCTAGATCAAGGTAGAGATGTGGCATGTTCTCTTAATGGTCAGGAGTAATCGGAGTTCAGCAATACAGACAGAGCTCAATGAATATAACGAAAAGAAGTGCACAGCAGGCACTGTGTTATTTCTACTTGTATAAAGTATAGGATCAAAGGGCCCATGTGTTAGGTAGATTCGGGAATATCCATGAAAGCAGTTTTCAATTCAGTCCTTGTATTTGTGCGGTCGCTTTGACCATAGCAGCATGTTTCGAATCAAAGGTATCTTTCTATTTGCAAAGTCGGTGCTAATCTTCTTCCTCCCCTGGTTCCTTCTTCTTGACTGGTGCGTCCTTCCGAGCAGCGGCTTCCGCATACTCAAAGTTAGTCTTGTTCATCGTCTCCTTGTACTCCAGAACATGAGCAGGCACCTCCTTAACCTCATTGTATGGACCAGGAACCGGCTCTCCAAATTGCTCGCAAAGTGGCAACACTCCAGTCTAAAGCTCGTTAGCATCTCTTCCTCCTCAAATTTGTCTCGTTTGGAAGCAGTGCATACCCAAACAGCACCCAACACGTTGCTATTCCCCAAATCCCCCTTTTCATCATTCGGCACGCCCTCTCTCACCTTCGCACTCCCACTATCAATTTTCACTTTCAGAATCTGAGTACTTTGCATCTCCGCTGCGTTAGGTGGAACACGGGTGTGGCTCCAGCGATCAGGGACGACGGAGTTGGTTATCAGTTCCATCGCCCAGAGCTTCTCTTCTACATCTTCGACCGGTGTTGCGTAGCCGAAGAGCACGGCGCTGCGGTAGTTGTAATTGTGGGAGTTTGGTGTTAGGGTTAAGACTTTTGGATTTAGTTAGAGAGCGTTGTTGGGGAGGAGAGGGGAAAGTGGGGATGGTGGGGAAACAAGGGAGAGCAAGTACCGAGACCATCTACTTTGGAGGCTGCGATGCAGATGGGGAGACCTTTGCCGCCGGATGCTCGACTGAGGTTCATTATTCGGGCGGAGACGTAGCCGTGGAGATAACAATCTAGGGGATCACCGAGGGAGGCGGAAGGACGAGAGAAGGAGCCCATTTGACCGATCAGAGGGAGTATTACGGGGAATGGATCTGTAGGGGATGGTGTGTGTTGGAAAAACAGGTAGGATTCGAATGTGATTCACGTGAATAGAGCACGGCGGATACGGATCACAGGGCTAGCTTCGTATGAGCTAATCCAATGATATTGTATCCTATTGTGTCTGCTCTTCTACCTAAGGAGGGAATGCTCAATATATGGAATATCCAGTGCGTCGTACGAGACGCAGATAGTTTCATCGATTGCGCCAGCGCACTCGACACGTGATCTGGCATCTCGAACCACGCTCCTCGCGACAGTGTGAAGGAGACCTGTGGTGAAATCAGTATTTTGATCAAGATATCGGACTTGTTCGCCGTGGTGGAATTCTATCGGTAGGGCGAATCAGAAGTTGGCTTACATGGAGAACGGGACTTATGTTGATTATTGTGTGGATTGTTGTAAGAGCATATACAGCTACAGGACCATTAGTTTCCTGAATATCTTGGAAAAGGGAATGCTCATGCCTTGGTGCTTGTATCTGTTCACGGTGTTATGCACCTCCTTCGGGTACTCTAGATTATGGCGAACCATGGCGGGCTCTGAGTGCGTGATTGAAATGCGGAAGTGGTTTTGTTGCCAAAGTAGAGAGCTTTAGATCCGATTTCAGTCATCTTGTACGACTGCATTCAAGTATATCTATATCTAAATTCGCAACGGCTGGTCGTCCCTACGTGCATCAAGTCATACCTCCCAAGCTTTATGCGGCAAGTCCATGCGATATCAACGCGAACAGGCTCAACTCCTCATCCTTGCCAACCATCCATCC